CTTCTTCTTCTTCTTCTTCTTCTTCTTCTTCTTCTTCTTCTTCTTCTTCTTCTACTTCTTCTATTACACCACCTGGAACTGTGACAACAAACAGCATGATTTGATTCTTTACTAAGAATCTAATCACCGCTAGCATACAAACGCAGCTACAGTAATTCTCAGACTGGAGTGACATAAGTAACTTACTGTACAACAAATGCAACAACGGAGACCACCTGTTGGTGATATTTTTAAAAAAAGGCTAGTAACAAGTTCCTTGCTTGGCTATGTTAAGTGAATTAAACTGAAGATTTTTTTCTTCTGCCTTCCATTTCCTTTACTCACTCTGTATCTGCACTACGAGAGCATGCTGCCAATCGAATTCATTAGATTTAGTCGGGGCCAGTAAATTGTTCTTTCAGGGATGAGACAAAACCTGCCATTTTAATTTCGGCACAATTCCACTAACCTTCAAATCAAAGGTCGCGAGTCGAATCGACCCGTATTGTGCCAAAACTGTATCTTTTGCCCCTTCGTGGGGAAAAAAAGTTATCCCTAACTCAGTTTGATTTAAATCCCATTGATAGTGTGCACTTGGTTCCACCAGAATTGACAAAGAAATTAAATTGTGACGTTCAGGGGAACCACTTATATTAAAAATCACAATTCACAAAAATTTTGTTAGCGACATTCACTTGAACGGACAATACAGGGAACAGGTGAAACCCAAGAGACTGCCATTGTTAGACAGCGAATAGTTCGTTTTTATCAATGAAATACGCAAATGAGGAGATAGATAATTTAGAGTTTAAACTATCCACAGACAGAGTCAACTACAAAAAGACATAGAGCCATACATACACGTTTAGTTATTTAAATGTCTAGATTTTGCATCAATATTACACCTCAAAGTATCTTAGATACAAAATATAAATAAAACAGATAGGCGATTAAATGAAATAAACATGACTCAACGGAGACCAAAAAGTTTCAACACTTAACAAAGGATTTCAAACAAATTATAAAAAGAAAATAGAGCCAGTGATGCGAAACAATGTCTATTTTGTTTGAATTCGTGTCTTTTTCTTGTTGCACATAAATCAAGGCCCGTGAAAATCCACAAACGTATTCCCTCACACGAGACCAAACTCATTCGCCCTTTCCCCTCCCCCAGGTATTGCGTTTCTTTCCGCGGCTCTTCTGGTCGGAGCTGTCCTAGCACAAGACAACGACGAGGCTTCGGGCAGCCCACTCTGTGTGGACGGCTGCAGCGTGTTCTGCGAGACCATTGGCTCTTTATGCGTGGATATTCCTCCCCTGGTCAACTGTGCTTCCATCAAGGCCACCTGTAACGGTGTCTGCGGGCTGACCTGTGATTGCAACACCAAGTGCCTCGCCGGCTGTCAAAGTATGAGCGCCGAGTGCGAGGCCAAAGACGAAAACGGCCTCAGCCAGATCGTTTGCAAGGGTAAAGAGGCTGCCTGCACATCAGCCTGTCCTGCCACCTGTGCTGGTCAAGTCATCACCCAGGGCATCAAGCAAGCTTTGGGTCAAGTCTTTGCCAGTATGACCAAGCCGGCCGTAACAAAAGCCCCATAAACAACACAAGTCAAGCAGAGCCCCGGACAAAGACATGGACACGGGCCCCAGACATTAAATTGATTGGTCACAACTTACTTGTAATGTCAGTTGAAATCCAGAATGAAATCGAATGCAAAAAAAACAACCTTCGCTTTATGTCTTTCATTCAGTCACAATTTTCACGTTCACATAAAATATTGATGTCTTTGTCACATTAGATGTGGAAAATCAATCCAAACCTTAAGCAACCAGAACAGTTCCCTGTTCAGACATCCTTCCAGCAAACAGCGCTTGCTGGGATCCACTTCCAAGTCAAGACCATACCATCCAAGGCCACCCTTATCGGTGAACAAGTCTGATTCAACTTTTCATTTTCTGTCAATATAAATTTCACGTCAGACTTCTTCCAGTGTACTGATACAGAATGGCTTCATCATTTTTGACATCCTGTTAAAAAGAAACTACGGCAGCAAGCCTTGATTTTTTAAAATGGTAAGCTATAAACACACACACAC